CCGGTTCGAAAACCTGAAAAAAATTTGAAAAAATTTTTAACCGTAATTTAGCGCTTTTCAATTGCTACTATTAAATTATGTTTATGATTTATTAAATTAATGGTATTTTGTATTTTTATTAAAAGTTACCTTTGACCTGAGCATGGCCTCATATAAATTGGCGTCATTAATGTCCCATCCATCAACAATCAGCTCATGGGGGCGAAGCATCGGTAGCATCTCGTTGAACGGCACGTGCACCTTGAAAAGTATTTATTTTCAGAGATTTCGACGTCAAAATTTGCCCCAACGTTTACGCCTTCAAATCCTGATCTAATCGATTACGTTGTCCAATCTGGTTTGAACCGATTACGTTATCCATTGCAGGTCTAACCGATTATGACATTAAATAAGATTTTAACCGCTTAGGCCGCGTAATTGCCTTTTTTAATAGATTACGCTAGGAAAATGGGATTGACCGATTGCGATAGTGCAATTGCTGTCTAACTGCTTACGGCGCCAAATTTGCGTTCAAATGGTTACGTCATTTCATCCCGGTCTGCGCCAAATCTGCTTTGAAACAATTACTTCATATAATTCCGGTTTAAATGGTTACGGCATCAAATGTGCGTCGAACCGATTACGCCACCTAATTCCGGTCTAACTGATTATGGCATGAAATTCTCGTCGGAACCGCTTACAATGGGAACTGTTATTTTAATCGATTATGAGAGGAAATTCTTTTAAACGAGTTAATTGAAGTCTAATCGAAGATGCTAGAAAATGCGTACCTGTTCCTGTCCATCATATCCAATATGTACTGTACTCGACTGGGTGAACGAGCCGAAATAATTGGCATGGTGGGTACCCTCCCGATTCCGCCAGCTCATCTTCTCTCGATTCGCGATCATCGCACCCACCTTCAAAAATTATTACAATTTTTTCTAGGTCTTTGAGCCTCATATTTTTCTGTCATAACCTACCGTAGTTGATCCATTATTTCCTCCAATCCCCACCAACATCAGTCCAGTCTTCCTCGTCTGTCTCCCCGTTCGTAGTTTATATTCGTACACTTCCGGTGTCACCCTCAGCCCATCCACAGTCCTCTCAATCTTATTCTTACGGTAGTTGAACGTCGAGTCGATAAATTCCGCCCCGTACGTGACGTCCGGTGAATTGACGTGTAGCTGAAATTTTTGAGGGTTTGAACGGACCGGGAAGGCCAATTTCCAGGGAAACTTGCAGGGGTTTTGGAGGAATTTTTGGACGGTCTATAGGAACTAGTAAGGCTCATTTCCATCAATTTGTCATTTTCCTTATGAGACAACTAGCAGAGATTTTTTGCCGGGTTTTTGGTCGTGAAATTTTCGATTTTGCATGGCATCGGCTAGCGGAGAGTTTTGAGGAATTCATTTTTTGGCGGTTTTAAAGGGACCAACAAGGACCTTTTCGCGCAGAATAAAGTGGCTGGCGGTGATTTTAGGGGCATTTTTATGCATTGTAAAGGGACCTTGATTCAGGGATTTTTGAGGATTTTTTGACAGCAGTGATCCTGGTGGAATTATTTTCTGGGCTGGTACCCAGATCAAATTTACACCCGTCAAATTTATACACGCGTGTAAAAAATTTTACACGCGTGTAAAAAAATTAACACGCGTGTAAAAATATTTACACGCGTGTAATTTAGCAAATTTCCTTAACAATTTTATTAAGGAATCAAAAACACGCGTGTAAAAAAGTTTACACGAGTGTAAAAATATTTACACGCGTGTAAAAAGTTTACACGCGTAAAACTGGGGTTTTTGCCGAAATGACGAAAAAAAGCAAAAAATTTACACGCGAGCGGCCTAAATTTACACTCCAACTTTGAAGAGCTCGAGAAAATTGTAGAGCCAACTTTTGGTGAAGATGAAAACCAGAGGAGGTAGCGACAGGCAGGGACGTAGCGTAATACCGGCCCCGGGGGCCCGGGGCCCCCCCCGAAATCGGCCGGGGCCCGAAAATTTCATAAGGGGGGACCCTTATGATTTTCATTTTCTCAAAAATTTTGCTGCCTGCGGCGCTATTTTTCACGTTTTTACGGCTATTTTTAGAGCTATGTAACCTTTTTTTCAAAATTTTTTGCCTGCGGCGCTGTTTTCTCGTTAATGTTTTGAGTTTTTTGGAAAAATTTTTTGGGGGCCCCCCCCGAAATTTTTTTCTGGCTACGCCCCTGGCGACAGGTCCCAACTATTGGTGAAAAAATGTGTGGCTTGCTAGGTACCCTAGAAATTTTCCTATGATCGTTCTTGTGGAGGTCGTTTTTTGACCGATTTACACTGCTCTCCCCAAGTGTAAATTTATGGGGTAAAATTTACACGCGAGCCCATATTTTGAACCAATGATTTTTGCACTCCCAAATTTGATTTTTAATCAATCGACTAAACCTTAACTAAATATACTTCATCAAGTCAACGGGATTTTTCTCGAACAGTCCGGATGCGAAAAAATCAATCTCCCTGCATTGTCGCATAAGAGAATCGGATCGGAATAATTTTTACATCCTTCGCAAGCCCACGAAACGGCAAATTTTCCAGTGACAACATCTTATTTTATGTATTCTTTCCTTCATATAGATGTTTTTTCAAAAAACGGGGCTCGAATCCAAAATACACGAGTGTAAATATTTTTACACGCGTGTAAACGCATTTTCCTGCACCAAAGCCCTCTAAAAGTGCAAAACCACGAGTGTAAATCCCAAAAACACGTGTGTAAACTATTTACACGCGTGTAAGTCCGAGGTGTAAATATTTTACACGCGTGTAAATTTTGGGCTGTTTACACGCGTGTAAATGTCATCTGGGTACCAGCCCTGGAGTTCTTTGACGGATTTTCAAGTCAGAATTTGGCATATCCGCGGTTTCTAGCGATCTCCGATTGCCTGGTCAACTAGCAGAGATTTCTCAGGAGCTTTCTGGAGATTCGAAGGTCTAATAAAGAAGCAAAAAAGAATAGAGAAGTCTAGTTTTGGGAATTTTTTGCCAACTAGCAATGATCTTTGCGGGATTCCCTACTTACCGTATCATTACGTACATGTCCGTTAGTATGTCCGTTCTGATGCCCATTTCCATTTGTATGGTGGACACCATTTCCATTGACGTGGCTGTGGCCGTTCATTGTTGCAAGTCGGAGGGTAGCTGAAAATTAGGGGGATAATGGCTGTCTACAGGCACATCACGGGGCAAAAGATCGCGACAAAAAAAAATCGCAAAAAATAAAATTGAATCATGGTCAAAACACGGAAATTTTCGCCGGATTTGGAGGAATTTGGAGGCCGAACTGGCGGTGATTCTTTGAGAAATTCACCATTTGCTAGCTAGGCAAGCTAGCAAGGATCCTTTAGGAAATTCACGATTTTCTGGGAAGCCAGCATGCCCCATTCGGGGAACTAGACGATTTTCTGGCTGGGGCGAGCTAGGAGGAATTCGCGTTTTTCGACCAGGCCAGCTAGGCGTAATTTTTCACAAATTCCGACTTTTCTCGCTACCGCTGGCTAGCAGACAAAATTTTGGAGGGACACTAGCAGAGATTTTGGAGGAATTTTGTGCGCGGTTTTTACGGGATCGTTAGGGCTAATTTCGTATGTTCACGGGTCAGCCAGCGGAGATTTTTGAGGAATCCACCAGGAATTTTTTTAAGGTTTAAAGGGGAGATTTTGAAGATTTAAAGGGGATTTTTGGGCCGGCATTTGGAAAGAAACGTAAAACGCATCAAAAGGAAGTAAAAAAATTAATAAAGATTGCCTCTGCCATTGGAAAGAAACGGGAAAATCATCGAGATTTGGCTAGATTAGATAGGGGGGATTAATACATAAATGTGCAGCATGGCAGACGTTGAACTTTGTCTGTCCTTCAAATGGGGCCATCGTGCCCCCAGGGGCTCTTTTGCGCCCTTTAGCTGATAGTGGCCACGCCCACTTTTGTGCGCCGGGTACAGATGGATATCTGGCCCTCTCGCTCTCTCGCTCTCTCTCTCTCGCTCTCTCTCTCTCTCTCTCGCCCTCTCTTTAAAGGGCGTATGGCGTGATAGTGGATGTTGATTGTGAGTGTGTTCTATGCCCTGCTGCTCGTCCTCATCACCTCATGCTCCCCGTTTCCGCCCCAAAAATAGATCCCGGGCACGCTAGCGGAGATTCTTTGCGGAATTGGAGGGGATGGACGGGGGCAGGCTAGCAGAGATTCTTTGCGGAATCGGATTTAACGAAAGGCAGGCTAGTAGAGGTTCTTTGAGGAATCGGATTTGACGAAAGGCAAGCTAGCAGAGATCTTTGAGGAGCTTTTTTGCAGGCTGAACAATGAACGGAATGTCCTTCAGCTTGCCAGCCACCCTCAAAAATGCAATTTCGCGCGCCCGGACGGCCTTAAATAGAGGACCCAAAAGGGCCCTGGATGCCCCAGAAAAAAAGGCTGGGAATTGGACCCATTGGACCCGAAAAAAATGCCGAAAATGGGGAGTGGGAACCCCGGACACAGTTTTTAATCTAGAGCTGGGAAACGAGGGGGGATAAAGCCCCCCAAAAATAGCCAAAAAGAGCTGCTGCTCAGTCAGTGGTCGAGTTGAGCAAATTTTTTTTCCCATGGATCCAAGTTTTCTAATATATATAGAGGAGGTGTTTCTAAAATGTTATTTACAATCGCTAAGCGTCAAACGATAAAAAATTGCATTAAAAAAAGGCAGAATATCGATTGCTCGACCATAAATGTCGATTTTTTTACCGAAATTTCGACTTTTTCAACCTGTTTAGCTGGGTTTTCTAGCTTAAATAGCTTAATATTTTATGAAATACTGTTATCAATTTTGCTAGGCATCTCTAGACTTTTACAAAAAAATCACTGCCCCTCGATAATGGAAAAGAACCGAACGCGGAGATCCCCCTAAAAGGACCGCCATTTTTGGCTGTCTGGCCCTTTGGGAAAATCGATGTTTCTGTGGTGAAAAGGGGCTTCTTTTTCTTCTTCTCGCCTTCAATTTGTCCCCGGAGAATGGATGGGATGAGAATTCGGGGCCCCGCCCCTAATTACAATTCCATCCCTCAATTTCACGACCCACACGTAGACTCGATTTTCAGGCTGACAATGAGAATTTTGCGGAAAATTTGACTATGTTTTCAAGGATGAAAAATAGCTTGAAAAATGGCTGAAAAGCTCCCAAAGAATATCTGCTAGCCTGCCCAAGCGCCCAAAAAATTTTTTTTTGGGTGGCAAGGCCCCAAAAAACCGCGAAATTTCGATTTTATAGGCATGTCGGACTAGTGTTTCGGCGCTCCCAAAGAATCTCTCCTAGCCTGCCCAAGATGCCGGTCATTTTTCCGCAAATGTCCGCCGCTGGCTTGCCTAGGCAAATGTTTCGCATTCCCGAATTTTCTCTGCTAGCCTGCTGACCCTGGATTATCGAAATTATTAGGGATCAAAGGGCGGGAAAGCTCCCAAAGATCCTCTGCTAGCCTGCCCTAGTCCGTATCTCTATATTTTCCTCAATAATCGCTGCTAGCTTGCCGTAACAGGGTTTTGACGTTCCAAAATTTACGCTGCTAGCCTGCCCCCCGCCTTGAATTTTTCAGGTTCCTTCGCAAACTCCACTAGCCTGCTTGCGAAAATGTATAGTTCCGAAATGTGCGCTGCTAGATGGCCCGATTTCTGCTTCCTGGCTTTTTCAGACAATCTGGCGACTCCCACCGAATGGTTTACGCTAGGAAATCCCTTATCAAAACGTGCGATTTTGCCCTTTCTGTTTTTGTTCTCTTTCTCTCTCTCTCTCTCTCTCTCTCTCTCTCTCTCTCTCTTTCTCTCTTCCCCGAAATGATGACATTATCATGATATCCAATCAGGCCATTCGTCTCTTTACAGCCCCCCCAGCAGCCGAATCACCCGATTATTTATGATGCAAGGGGCAGAGAGAGAGAGAGAGAGAGAGAGACAGAGGGAAAGAGAGAAGAGAGAGAGAGAGAGAGAGAGAGAGAGAGAGAGAGAAAGAGAGGAAGACAGCGAGATATATGCAGAAAACCAGGAAAAAGAATGCGTAAACTACCTTAAAAAGATGGCTTTCTAAAAAATTCGGGGTAAAAATCTAGGAGAGATTTAAAGAAACTGAAAATATAAATAAATTGTATAAATAAGCAAAATATAATTAGTTTTTTTCAGGAAGAAGTCGAGCCACAACCCGGCCCTTCGACATCTACCGTAGTCACGCTGGAAAATGAGGAAAATCACCAAGAAGAGGACGATCAGCCGGTTCTGCAAGAGGAAAAGAAGGAAATCGCAAAACTCGGAGAGCAGACGGTACTTTTTCGTGACGTTTTTAGAGGCTAACTGGCAGAGATTTTGATGGTTACTGCTGGAATTCTCGAAGGATCCGTGCTAGCCTGCCCTGACAAACAGCAGAAACTAGTTAGGAATTCGATTTTTCGAATAGAAACTCTTGATTTGGTTGGGCAAGGTAGCAGAGGTTCTTGAAAAAAGATAAGCTGTGATTCATAAGTGAATAAGGAGGTTTGGCAGGCTAGCAGAGGTGCTTAGGGATTCGAGAATATTTTCGCTAACGCGTAGGCTCGCAAAGATTTTTGTGGAAAAATTTCGATGTCGAATGAGCGTCCCGGCAAGCTAGCACAGATTCCTAGGGAATTGGACTATTTTTGGCTTTAGGCCAGCTAGCAGAGATCCTTTAAGGAATAACTTACGGACTACGGCGACCCTTTGTGTAAGTCCAGAAACGTCTAATAAATATTAATAGTAAGATTTTAATGGTGTTTTTAGTGTAATTAAATCCACTTAAATTGGAGAAACTATCTACAAAAACTTGAAAGGCTTTAAAAATTCGAAATTTAGGTCGAAAATTGAACATTTTTGGTCGAAAAACCTATATTTTTTGTATTTTTAATGAAAATTTGTAAAGTTTATATGTTTAAGGATAGTAAAAAACTCATTTGAAACAACTTACCCTATTTATATTAGAAGAAAGAAACAGAATAAACGAAAAAGTTCGCTCCCCCGATAATGGAAAAGCTCCACATTGATAATTTCACTTTTCCAGGTACCAATCCACATTGTCTCGTGCTCGGCCTACGGTGGTGATCGCTACAATGTGCTCCGCGCGCTGGAAAAGATCAAGCCGGTGGTTGTCATCATGTATCACTCGGATCTGGCCACATTCCGACAGGTCGAGGTACGGTAGATGGCCAGATTCTAGAAATCTTGATATTTTTAGTTGTTCCACGCGACAAATTCGAATTTCCATCTACACTTCTACTTCCTACAGTACTCCGATTCGACCGAGGAGGAAAGGTATGGTAGTTTTTTGAAGTCCTGATGGGTCTCTGCTAGCTTGCTCTCTCTCTCTCTCTCTCTCTCTCTCTCTCTCTCGCTCCCTATCTCTCGTTTATGAATGCTCTCTGCTAGCTGGCTAGCTTCCGCAAATATCCTCTGCTAGCATGCCTCGAATTTATCGATTTTCCTCAATAATCTGTGCTAGATTGCCCATTTCATCTTTTAAAGCTGACTGTAAAGTTTTTTTACTCAGGCTGGCGTTTTAGGATGGGACCAAGCCTATCTTGTTCAGAATTTTTTGCTGATTCCGAATCCGTTTTTCAAATTTGCTGCGGACTTCGCGTTCAAAAGTCATTTGGGGTCTAAATTAAGCTTAAAAACGGCATAAATTCGGATGCTGGCCCACTATTCCCTGCCTCGGCCCAGGTATTGTGGTACCTCTTATCTACCCTCAGGAAGCACCCTTCCCAATTGGCACCATGGTGCATTGGTAAGCTGTTCGCTTGCCAAGCAAGGGGCGGCGGTTCAAACCCCCGCCCTGCACAATTTCTTTTGCTTTTTGACAAAAACATATGATTTTTGCATAAAATCGTGCTTTGACCTCTAAAACCGTTACCGAGCCAGTTTTAACGTCGGAGGTGACGACAACTTAAAAAATAACGCCAAAAATCCAGATTTAGTAAATTTTTTTAGTATAAATGTCGAATAACTTTTTAAATAAAGGTCGGCAGCAAATTTGGAAATCAGATTCTGAATCAGCGAAAAATTCTGCACAAGATAGGCTTGGTCTCATTCTAAAACGCCAGCCTGAGTAAAAACACTTTACAGTGAGCTAATATTTTACCCAACTTGCCACATCGATTTTTCAGATACCTAAGCCGACTGAGCAAGGAAAACGAAGCCTTCTCCCACCTGAAAAACGAAGTTGATGTGGGTGTTTTTTGGAGTGCAATGTAGCTAATTGAATTTTGGTATTTTTTATTTTATTTTTCTAATTTTAGAACCTGTTGATCGCCCGTGAATTCGATGCGGGAAGGGAAGAAGCCCCCAGATTGGCCGTGAACACGTTGGAAGCTGGCGGATTCCAGGAGGATACTGTCGCCAGGCCAAAGGTCAGCTAGCGGTGGTTATTTGGGAGAAGCATTGGGCTAACTAGCAGGGATTGCTTGGGGAAAATTGGCCAAATGACGAATGGACCAGGACAGGCTAGCAGGGATTTATGTGGAATTTTTAGGGCAGGTTAGCAGCGATTATTTGGGAATTCGTGATTTACCGGGCCTGAAATTTAGGGCAAACCAGCAGCGACCGTTGGGGGAGATTTGTGGAAGGTTAGCAGGAATTCTTGAGGAATTATTGTTTTTAGGGCGTGCTAGCAGCGATTATTTGGGAAAACTTGGTCCGCTTTTTTTTTCAAATTTAAGACAAACTGGCAGGGATCCCCTGGGGAAATTCGAGGCAGACTAGCTGAGATGCTTGAGGAATTTCAAAGCGAGAGACAGGCTAGCAAAGATTTTTTAGGGCAGGCTAGCAGTGATTCTTTGAGGAATCAGAATTTCTAGGAACAGGCAAGCCAGCAGAGATCATTTGGGGGAAAATTGGGAGCTCGGTGAGGCAGGCTAGCAGAGAATATTCGCGGAAATCTTGGTTTTCTGATTGGTTTTCGGTTTTAGATAATCGTCGACATGCGCGAGTTCAACAGCGAGTTGCCGACGATTCTCTACAAGAAGGGATACGATGCGATTGCGGCCACCCTCGAGGTAGAGTTTCAACCTTTTCCCCGTGGTTTTTTGCCTTCTACGGTCCTTTAAAATGCCATTTTGCAGGTGGGCGACTACGTGCTCTCCCCCGGTATTACAATCGAACGAAAAGCCCTCGACGACTTGACCCAATCACTCCAAAGTGGCCGCGTCTTCAAGCAGACCGAACAGGTGCGAGCCGTTCGACTTTTAAAGGGCCGGAAAGGCAAAAATCTGGCAAATTTTGGTGTTTCTGACTTGAAATTGGCCTTTTCGTGCCATTTCTGATTTCTTAAAACCTAAAAAACCCGTTCCACACCTGAAAAATCGATTTCGGAAATTGAATTTTGCCCGTTTGCCATCATTCGAAAAGGGGCGTGGCCTGGCCCTTCACTTCCCGGCCCCTTTAAAATCTTTTTCCAGATGCTGGCCAACTACGCGGCCGCCTATCTGCTGATCGAGTCGAACACTAAGTTCGAGCTGAAGATTGTCAATGGAGGGCCCTTTCAGGTAGTTTTTGGGTTTCCTCAAATTTTCTCTGCTGCCTTGCCCTTTTACGGACGCGGATTCCTAAATTATCACTTCTAGCATGCCGTCGATTCCGGAATTCTCCCTGCTGCCATGCCCTTTTTCGGATCGGATCCGGATTCCCAAATTTTTTTCGGCTAGTTGCCAATTTCGGGGTGGCGAGTCCTTAATGGCGTCTGCTAGCTTGCCTCGCTCCGCAAATTTTCTCTGCTATCTTGCCCTCCCAAAACAATTTATAACAGAATTTTCGCAAATGATTTTTGCTAGCTTGCCCAGTTTCACAAATTGCCTCTGCGAGCCTGCCTCCGGAAAAAATCTTGGCCGGATTTCCGCAAAATTTTTCTGCTAGCTTGCCTCTGACTGTGAGGCCGATGAGCGAATTTCGAGCAGATTTCCGCAAATCGCCGCTGCTAGCTTGGATCTGACTAGCCGTTCCGAGACAATTTTTTTGAAATTCCCCAATTATCTCTGCTAGCCTTCCCATCTTCATTTTTTTCAGGGAGAACTGTCTCGTCATTGCCGTGAGATCCGCCAGCAGCTCTGCACCCTCATTCGCCTCTTCCCAAAACTGAAGCTCATCTGGTCGCTCTCCCCGGCCAATTCTGCCGATTATTTTGCCGATTTGAAGGTACTTTTATAATTTTTTTTGAAAAGTTTAATCCTCTTTTTTCAGCTAAACACGGCCGATCCGGACGTGGAGCGCGCGGTGGCTATTCGAGGGGATGAAGTCAACGATGAAGGTGCTTTTTTCGAGTTCTAGTTCGATTTTTAAAGCCTAAAAATTTGCTTGGTGGGTGGAAAAATGTTTTTAATAGACCTTAGACCTTTCAGCTTTAAAAAAGTTGTATAGGTATTTTTATTGGGATTTTCGCCTCTTTTTTAGTGTAATTGGGCAATACTATACAATTTGAAGTGTATTTTCGCGTTTTGCTGTGCGTTTTTTAGTAGATTTTTATTACATAAAAATACATGCAATTATTTCATCACAATTCAAGAATCACCCGCGTAGATTTAGGAAAAATGAGGATTTTTAGTGGCAGAGAGTAAAATTATGGAGAAAAAGTGGTTAAATTGGCGCTCTGTTGTAGATCTCTTCTATATTTCCTTTCCTTGTAAATTTTTAGTCCTATTTTTTGAAGTCATCCAATAATCCTGGTTCGTAGTTTTCCTGAATTTTCCACGGATTTTCTTGCTCTAGATTGCTGGGTGTAAACCGTCGTAACAGCCCCCTTCAGGATTTTTATTGAATTCCAATACGGCGTCAGTGTACATTATATCGCGGTTGAGGGGCATATTTCCGATCTTTTCAAAACGAGCAATCATTTGCTGCTCTGTGCTCGTCACCATAAACCATGTGCTCGAGGTGCGGACATTTACCATGTTCAGACACCAATTTGGGTCAGGGCACTTTTCTTTTCCGCCCACCTCGACTCCGTCGTACATTTTAATACTTTTTATGAGCGTTAGAAAAGTATTGCGCTTTTTCTTCACTTTTTGGCTCGATTTCTCCATCGGAACTGATTAGGCATTTGGTGCAGACTCTGGTTTTCCAACTGAAACACCGGAATTTCCCGTATTCACGCTGGCTCCATCGCTAACTTTAAGCGAATTTGTTCTTTTTTTTCCACTTTTCCGTTTCCTATTTGCTTTGGCTTTATAGAGCTGAATTTTTATCGCTTTTTAATTCGGTGTGTAGCGTTCCTTCGTATACGATCAAGCACCTTTTCGAGCCGTTTTTTTAAATTGGCAGTTTTCCGGGTGGTAGACCCTCCATTTTTCGCTTTTAAGGTCTTCTCTCTCTCTCTCTCTCTCTCTCTCTCTCTCTCCCTCTCTCGACCATCAACTTCTGTATGAACCCGAGATTTAGTCTCCTTTGTTGTAACTTTACAGTTTTTTACTCGTGCACTTTCCCCTTTTTTATGACGGTTTAGAAGCAGATTTAGAAGCTATTTCTTCAAGTTTTGGCTCGATTTCTTAATCGGGACTGGTCAGGCATTTGGTACAGATGTCGTTGTTCCAACTAAATCACCGGAATTGCCCGTATTCACGCTGGCTCCATCGCTAATTTGAAGCGATTCTTCTCTTTTTCCACTTTTCCGATCGCGTATTTGCCTTGGCGTTAAGGAGTTTAATTTTTGTTGCGTTTTAATTCGCCGTACGGCTGCGCTGCGTTGATGTTCAAGCACATTTTCTTCTTTTTTCTTGAAAATTTGCGATTTTCTGGGTGGTAGACCCTCAATTTTTCTTTAAAAATGCTGCAATCAGACATTTGGTCTCCGAAGTTTTTCTAGCTTCGAAGACTTTTGGCCTGCGCGTCAAAGAGCATGTGGTTACGTTTCCTTTTCTTCTCCCACCTTGGCTTCCACTTGATTTCCGGGCTTTTTAATTATGGTTTTAGGCTTGTTTTATATGGTTTAAAGCGTTTTTTTTTCAACTTTTAGTATCGAATTTCAAATCGGAGTTTCCTGAGCTGATTCCTAGAAAATTTCACGATCAACCAATTCTGGCATTAGTGCCCGCAAGCGCTTATCTAGTGTTTAATTTCGTGGTATTTGATTGTATCTTGATTTTAAATCAAGCCATTTTCCGGTATTTTAGGCTTTTCTCCGGTTGTAGGGATCCCATCGGCCTCAAAGTGCTCGTTTGTGAAATACCATTCGTTAAAAAAATTTGATATTTTTAAATTTGACGTTTTATAGCTGTTATTAACGATATATTCGGTTTATAAACCGTTTTTTTTCCTCGTTGTTAACCACCATAAAATTCACGGAACGTAGCTGTTGGGGTCCAAATGGACGGTTCCATAGCCGTTGCCAGGAGCCAAGAAATTTTTTTGGTCGATATAATCGATAATTCCTTCTCGTTGTTCACCACCATAAAATTCACGGAAAGCGGCTGGAGAGGGCCAATTTTATGTATATTTGTAGGTGTATCGATCAGAAAATGTTTTACTTTTCTTACTTGATTTAAAATTTTTAAATTTCCTTTTTTTCAGATGACGTTTCGGAATTTGGCCTTGCCTGCGGAAAATGGGCTATTTTTAGGGGCAATTTTTTATTGTTCGGGATCGCTTTTTTTATTGAAAATTTAGCATTGCGCTCAATCAGCGTTTTGGTTGTGATATCCGGTGTGTGTCGGTCTCTCTCTCTCTCTCTCTCTCTCTCTCTTTCCATTGAACAATTATTCAGTGTATTAAAAAAACCTGCTACTCATTTCTTTAATTTTTAAAACACACTAGGGTGGAGTGTATCCGGCGTTTTTGGCCCTATCTTTTTTTTCTTGGTCGCCTTTCTTTCTTCTTTTCGACTCGGAATAATAGCTCATCCCAGTCGGTTTCCGCAAATATTCTGCGATCGCCTGCACCGTTTATTTGTCGATTTTAAAAACTCTCATCTTGTGAGAATTTCGAGGCTTTTTGCATTGGTATTAGCCTTGCAGATTCCTTCGCTTTCCTGTACACGTATTGAGCGTAGCGCAACGTAAACCCGTGTTTTTTTATAGTAACGTGAAGACTAGAGCCTTGAAATCATCCCCGTATGCGATATGGTTGTTTTAGAAAGATCTGCCAAGTCGTTTTTTTCCTATTTTTTCCTATTTTTGAGTCCATCGACCAAAAATTCGGTAATCTGCTCATTTCTTTGCTTCTCCCCGGCCCAGGAATACCACGCTGCCATCGCAGCGGAAATCCTGACACGAATATTTTTTGTATATTATTGTATGAAAATATTACTGTTGAATTTTTTGCCAATCGGGCCCATTCCTTTCCATTAGATTGCCTGCAGATATTTTTCCGTGCTGACGATTTTGGCCTATTCCTGTCCGCCAAGAACTGGTTTTTAAAGAGGTTTAAATTTTTATAGAATTACCTGTTCAGAAAGGTGTTATATAAGTTGGTAAAATTCTAATTTCTCGGTGGTTTAAATCATCTACAAAATGCTGCGCACGAATTTCTTTGATTTTTCTGATTTTAGGGTGTTTTCAGTACGTTTTTATCATTTTAAAGCCATCTAGACGGCCCCGATTTGTTTTTGGCATTGATCCAATCTAATTGGAAGATATTTTAGAGGTTTGTAAATTTTATAGCTTTAATAATTTTTGCTTTTGCGATGGTTGCCATTACGTCTGCGCAGGTGCACTTTCGGGCTCGATATTTAATTTTTTATATTATGTAGCTTTTCACCCTCCTTTTTTCCGTAGAGTTTGAAAATTCTGCCCTGAAAGAGGGCGGTTCTTCCCCTCCGAACGCCTTGCACGTGTCGGATTCAACCCTTTTTAATTGAGATTGAATCTCCCGATAGAGACGACGTTGTGTACTTCTTCTAAATTCTGGACCGCGATCTATGTTTTTTGCCGTTCCAAATTATCCGAATAAGATTTTGCCATTTGGGCCAAAATTTTCCGCTCTAAAAAGCTTATTCCTGGGCTTTTTTGGCGCACGTATCGCGTAAGCGAATCGTCATTTTGTATTCCGCCGTAGTATTCACCCGACCGGCATGTGCGGAATGTAGTAGATCGCTGATTTAGAATTTATCCAATCTGTTCGATGCTCCGGATTTTCAAGCTCGCTGATTCTTTCCAGCACCTAATGTAGTTGCCTTGATTTCGGGCGAATCTAGTGATTTTTTTCATGTATTTTCTGCGAATTCCTGAGAGTTTCTAGCGTGGTTGTGCGTCACTTCAACTACGGCGATTCTCATGTTCTCTTTCCGGGTTTCCGGTTAAAAGATCGCAGGGCTTTGGGATCATTCGAGCGGTGCCGCCACTTTTGTCCAAGATGTTGTTGAGCAGTTGACTCTCGATTTTTATCACTTTTAGACCGTCCACCAGGATTCGGTGTAGTTTATTCTGAATTTTTAAGCATATTTTTTGGCTCTTTTCAATTTTTTCAAAGTTTTTGTGAGCCCGCATCAGATTAATTTTTTATGTATCCCCAAAAATTTAGGGTACATGGCCAGATGGGTGGCAATGAAATCGGCCACCCGGAAACGCTTTATCCCATCAAATTACCGGGTTTTTTGTATATCTTGATGAAGAATAGCCTTTTGTAGTTACGGCCAAAATTTTCCGCTCTAAAAAGATGATTCCTGGGCTTCTTTGGCGCGCGTATCGCGTACGCGAATCGTCATTTTGTATTTTGCCGTAGTATTCACCCGACCGGCATGTGTGGTATGTAATAGACCGCTGATTTAAAATTTATCCGGTCTATGCGATGCTCCGAATTTTCAAGCTCGCTGACTCTTTCCACGTGGAAGAATGGCCACCTCGCTTTTTAGATTTTTTTGTAGCTTAAAATTTTTTTGCATGGAATTTGGTTAGATTTTTTACTTTTTTTTCGAAGAATTTTTGGAAGATGCTGTATTTTTCGGTTTCTATCTCTGTTTTATATTTTTAAATTATATTCTATAAAAAAAAACATTAACGGCTTTTTGCTTTGCCGTAGGCCCGTTTTTGGATTGAACTCAATTTTTCGACTTTTACATCCAGCAATCGATAAACAAATTGTTGGCGGCTGGTATTTTGCTGAATTTTCGACTCGATCCAGTGATTTTAGTAGATTTTTGCGGCTTTCTTTTCCTCAAAACATCGAACTGACCTCTTAAAACAGCCTTGCATCCGTCCAGTTAGTTAATTTCAATGTCGGGATCTTTTCTGAGCACAGCTGCTGCAGCGTTCTCGGGGTTTTTTTTGCATTTTTTTTGCATTTTTCGGCATTTTCTACTTTTAAGGTTTAACCCGTTTTTTCGGGGGTTTTCGACCCGATTTTCATGGCGTAATCGATTACTTTTAAAAATCCGATACCCGAAAAACTGCGATTTTTAATGCGTATTCGGACTTCCGGGATTTTTCGCCTGGGCTTTTCATGGCGCAATGTTTTCCCCAATCACAAAGAATTTGGCAGGATAAGAATACAATCCGTAAAAGTTTTAATGATGTTAAAAAATTATTTAAGATTATTTAAATGGTGTAACAGAAATAAAACTTGCTAAAGTAAGAGCTAATATGAATAAAGAATGGTTGAATAAGGATAAAATCTAATAAAATAAGATTTTTTGAGACATGCCTAGCCACGATGCGCCTTATTTATGAAGGCGTAACCGGGCTTTTTTGGCATTTGGAAGGCACCCCAAAATCGCCTAGCTAGCAAATTTGGCCTAATTGACCCTAAAATGTGCCCCAAATCCGACCCCGGATTACGGTAATTCAAAATTTTTTATTTGCTAGCTGGCTTACAACTGGGGTTTTTGCAAACGGCTGGTAGATGGGAATTTAGCACCAGAATTTAATTGCAGTAGTTAAAAAAAGTTGATTTAAAAGTTTAAAATCGAAATTTTGTCGGGTCTTACTGTAGGGTGTCGTAGATTTCGTCGTGTTTTTCCATTTTTGATCATCATCGTATTGTCGTCGTCGTCGTCAAAATTCCGAATTTTCCACGTTTCCGCCAGGCGTCATTTGGTGTATTGTGTAGCGCAGCCTTGAGGAATTTCCTGAAAAATACGGCTGGTTTGAGACCTAAATCCTTTTAAATATCGATAATTTAATTTGTGGAGTAAAATTAATTAAATTTTGGAGTTTAAAAACCGTTGAATTATGGATGGTCTTGTCCCTTTTTGGCTATAAAAATTTAGGAAAAAAATCTTATTTAGCGAATGGTGCTGCATCGTTCAATTATAGCTTAATAGATGTTACTTACCTCATTTTCCGTATAAATTGATGTAGAATCGTTTACGCAACGAAATATGGGATACGCTTGACGCATCAATCACCAGAAATTTCGGTTAAAGTTGACTTTACCGCTTAAAAAAAGTAGAATAGCATATAGTTTGTAGTTAACGCTCTCTAGTAGACAAATAGTTGTATTGAGCTCGTTTTGTAGTTTTGGTTTGTAGCCTGTCGTTTGAAGGTTGTAGCATAACTTTCGAGAATAAACAACCCCCACGGATCGGGGGAAATCGTCGAAAAGTGGAAAAAGCGTAGAATAACGAGAATTTTGTAGTTTGTAGTTTGAAACGTAGATTCCAGGAGACGTTAACGACGTCAATTTTCGCACCGTCTGCGAAAATTCGGATTTTTTTTGAGCACTTTTGCCGGTTTTTACAGCCAAATTCATGATTCTATAGCAGATTTTGATGGCGACGACGATGATAAGAATCTTGTAAATATAGCATATTTAATTGATAGAAATTAGGGCATTTAATAGAACTTTCGGAGGGGTCACATTTTAGGGGTCGGGGGCTGATGATGATGTTACAAAGGAGAACGGGCTGGATGAGGGAATGGGGAGGGGGAGAGAGTGGGTGGAGGGAGAGACGCAGACAATGGGAGGGAGGCTGGCAATAGGGATGCTTTATACAGAAGGAAGAGAGAGAGAGAGAGAGAGAGAGAGAGAGAGAGAGAGAGAGCGGGGGAGAAGATATCACTCCTTGATACTCCATGACCCTGACATTCCTTCCTAAATTGCCGCTGCCAGCCTGCCCCTCCCTGGAAAATTTCCCTAATTATCCCTGCTAGCATGCCCCACCACCCGAAAGTACCGTAATTTCCTCAAGAAACTGGCTAGCTTGCCTCGCTTGATTTCCGCAAAAAAATCGTTGCCAACCTTCCCCAATCTTCCACAAGGATCTCTGCTAGCCTGCCCTAGACTAGCTACACTTCATATTCCATCAGTTTCTAAATAATCTCTGCTTGCTTGCCTCATATTTCCACAATGATCTCCGCTAGCTGCCCCGCTTCGAGTCGAGCTCCTCAAAATCTCCAGAAATTCTGATTTTTCTCAAAGTGTCTCTGCTAGCTCGCCATCGCTTTTGGGGGTATTTTACTCCGCAAGCATCTCTGCAAGCCCGCCTTTTCTCAAATGACCTCTGCTCGCTTCCGTATCATGACGTAACTATCATGACGGCTCATCCTTTTCTAGCCCATCCTACGTTTCCTCAGGAATCTCTGCTAGCCGGCCGGTCAAACTAATTTTAGGTTGATATTTTTTTTAATTGGAGTGGATTAAGAAAAATAAACTATCAAAAATTCACTAAAATATCAACAATCCCTTTTCCAGAGCTGGCCACCCGGAAGAGCACCGGCAAACCCAACGCCACCATCCTCCGCAATCTCACCGAAAATCTGCCCAATTTTAACAAGGTATAAAATTAACTACTTTAATTTTTAATAATAAAAATTGACTCAATAGGTATCCAAATAAAGTTGTTTTATTTATTTTGACAATTTTAGGTCAAAAAACGTGATTTTTCAGAACCCAAACTTGTCCTGTTATTCAAGAAATGCCTAGTAACGTAATTGGAATTATTTTTTTAATTTTATACAATAGTTTAGCTATATTTCAAACGTAAATCTATCTAAAAAACTTATTAAAGGCTTTAAATTTTGCGTTTTCCCGGAAAAACGAGTTATTTTTATTTGTTTTATAGATATTTGCAAAGTTTTCGCATTGAACATAAAAATAGCCCTAGAAATACTTCTATTTAGATTATAAACACTGCATTTTACGAAAAAAGCCCCCCCCGATAATGCATAAGCGCCTGAAAACCATTTTTTCCAGGCGAAAGCGCAGAAGCTGATGCTGGGCGGGGCGTCGAATCTGGGCGAAATCTTTCGCGCCACCCCGGAGAAGCTCGTCGAATATCTGCCCGACGACGGCGACACGCTCAGCCTGCTTTTCAATTTCAATTTCCGCGACCAGTGATTTTTCGGAGGATTTTCAATTGGGTACTGGACTGTTAGCGGGGGGCCAATAGGCCCTATGAAAAATATAAATCATTTTTAAGAATTTTACAAAGTTTCTAGGTATAAAAAGCACACAAAAAATTTGAAACTTTTCGAAAGTTGTCTTGTTTTTTTCTTTTTCATTAGCTAAAAAATTAAGCGAATAATTTTTTTCATTTCTTAATTCTTCCTAGACGAAAAGGCATGGACACCGCCAAAAGCTCGCATCCCCCCCGCTAGTAGTCCAGTGCCTTGAATTAGGTTCACATTTCCGTAATTTTTCGCGTGTATTTTCTCGCATGGCCTTACCATTTAAGCAATTTAAATCGATCTCCGATGTCTCGATATTTCCTCTATACATACTCCTCTCCACGTTGTGAAAATTTTTATTCGGGTATCTCACGGTGTACATGAATAGAAAAAATTAGAAAATTCAGGTGAACAGGAGGAATAAATGCACAACCAGAAAAATCGATCGATAAAATTACTGCAAAAAAGTTACAAAAATTACATCGCATTTTTGGGGTAAATTTTGCTAAAAGATACAATTAGCTTCATTCGTTACAAGTCAAATATCCAGGAAAATTCAGGAATAAAAATTACAACCCGAAAATCGATCCAGAAAATGGACGTCCAAATTGGGAGAATTAAGAGAATTGAATTAGCAGAAAATTTCGGGAAAATTTTGGAAATGGACCGGGAAAACAGCAAGAAACCTAATGCCTCATCTCGAGCACGGGGTTGCGGGTCCACGTCGGGTTGGCGCTGGTGTCGCCCTTCTTGGAGATGTACCACGATCTGTTGCGCTGACACGCCGACGAACAGTAGCCACTACCACATTTGTCGCACGGGAAGTAGCAACCTGGAAAATAGGTTAGAGGGCGGGTAGGCTAGCCGAGATTCTTTGGGAATTCAACCAAAAATTTAGAAAATCAAAACTACAGGGTGTATCAAAAAAAAGTTCCGAAGTTTGTCCCCAATTATCTCGAGAAGGAAAGATATTTCACCGTGCGTTACCATGCCAGAATGCTTAAATATGCTGGGTATGAAGATTTAACACAACTTGATTTTTTCGATTTTTGGCGACGTATCAATACAAATGACACGCGAAAACTGTGCGTTCCGGCAAAACTTCGTTTGCATTTTTGTGAATTGCTGGTGGTCGAGCTGTTTCAGTTTTTACAGTGTGGATACATAAGAACTGCCCCTACGCACATCCGAAATTTTGGAATTTTCGAAGGTCTGGTTCACAAGTTATAGCGTGCTCAAATATAGTATGGAGAAATTTCGTAAATATCGAATATTAAAAAAACTTATGGTGGGAACCCGAAAATAGATTGTTCTGGAATCCCTACAAGCTCTGTACAATCGCACAAACACTTCAAAGAATTTTTCGAGATTCATGAATTTTCAAATTTTTCAACGACCCCCTGGTCATGGATTCTTTCGAGGTCTCGAAACTGAACTTTGGAAAAATATTTCTAAAATTGCAGATAGAATTTCCGTGTTTGCTTTGCTTAGTTGTGTAGGAATGGGGTCCATCTATCATGTACACGATTTCTAACTACCGTAGCCCTTCGGAAGGGTGCCTTTTAGCGCTTCCAAAACGGTTGATTCGTGCTATTTCGCAGACCTTCGCGCCAGTCTATAAAATTCAGTTGCGCGGCTAGAATTATTGTCATAATTTTATTTAATACTACTTAATGGGCGCATTCTAAAATTATATTTACAAATTTATTGGGCCATCCGATCTTTCAAAAGAAATCCATGAAGTGTCGAAATATACCCGACTTTGAGGCAACGTAAAAAAATTCTCGAGGGTTTAGTAGCCCCGAGTTTTCTGGCATAGATCAAGCTTGAGTAATCAACTAGAACCCATGCAAATACGAAACCTTTTCATGGCAAACGAATTTAGAAGAGGGCCCCAAAGTCGGCTTTTCAAAGACGTTATTTTCGGGTTTTAAATCAAAATGAACCATTAACTTCAGCCAGATCATTCCAGTATTCTGCTCACATACACAGTTCGATGCGTGCTTTAATTGTATCCACCAAACCCCGGTGCCTTTTTCATTTTCAAAAATTCGATTTTCGGGGCAGGGTGTCGGGTCCAAAATCGGGTCCCAGGGAGGGTTTTCCTCTTTCCTTCATAACTTTGTCATTTGCCACAGGAATCAAGTAATTTTTTGTAAGTGCTCTTACAATCACCCAGAGAACAGTCTAGAATAGAAAAATTGGCATTTTATGGCATTTTGTCTTGGCATGCTAAAACGCGCTCCAGGCGGGTTACTGTAGAAAACAGAAAATTGCCGTTTTCTCGTTCTATTCACCATAGAAAGCTTGCGATCTTGCTCGAAAACAAATAATAGTAGTTTTCGGCCCATTTCATCAAAATATTTAGAAATTTCCGTGGCTAAATTCAAAAATAAGTTTTTTGCATATTTTGGGAAGGTGTATGGCTAGAACTTCGCGATATTTAGCCCATAGGTGACTCTTACTGATGGTTACCAATGATAAAATTTTGAGGGAAATCGCAGCTTACAATAAAAAGAAAAACGCGGAAAACGAAAACTACAGTATCCCTCTGGGGCACGTTTTAGCAAGCAATATTAAAATACCATAGAATCAGGTAAAATTTGGTATTGTGCTAAAGATTATCATTCGGAGACACCATTTGCAAAAGATCAGCCATGGGCAGCGTATTTGAAGCGAGTTCCAAATTAAAAAGTAAAAATAAGCAAAATAGGGAAATTTGTTTCGCTTCCAAAAAAATAACTAGACCTTCAAAAATTCTAAGACTTTGCTATTATATTTCTACAAGTGTCAGCAATTTTTAGGCCAAAAATCAGAATTTTCCCACCACCCGTTCAAGAACGCACAATTTTCGGTCGTAACCAGCGTCAATAGTACAGTTGCGTACTCAAAAATCGAAAAAATCAAGTTGTGTTAAATCTTCATACCCAGCATATTTAAGCATTCTGGCATGGTAACGCACGGTGAAATATCTTTCCTTCTCGAGATAATTGGGGACAAACTTCGGAACTTTTTTTTGATACACCCTGTAAACTATTTAAACAGCAAATAGCAAGAGAGGCAGCAACAGAGAGGCAGGCTAGCATAGACCTTTTGAGAAACGAAAAGTTAGAATTTACCTTAAATATTAAAACTAAACGTTGAAAATAGCAAAAAGCCCTAAAAAAAGACCGCCAAATAGAGAGGCAGGCTAGCAGAGAGTCTTTGAGGAATTGGGGCGGGGGCGGGCTAGCGAAGATTCTTTGAGGAATTGAAAAACAAGCGAGTTATACCAATGAAAAAGCAAGTTCGCCTAACAGAGACTCTTTAGGATCCCCGCCATGGGCAAGGTAAGCTAGCAGAGGTATTTTAGAAATCCAGAATTTCTGGCTCGGCAGGCTTGCAGAGACCGTTTAGGAATCGACAAACAATTAAATTCAGAACGTTTCGGAATACGGGGCAAGCTAGCAGTGATAATTTAGGAATTAGCGCAAAAAACCCAGGGCAGCCTAGCAAAGGCCATTTGGGGAAAATGGGAAATGCACAGGAAGGCCCTTGAAGCTGGGCAGGCTAGCAGAAGCCACTTGGGAATCGTGACATTTAGATCCCCCGCAGGCTGGCAGAAACAATTTGAGAATCCCGAAAATCAACGCTCGCCGCACAGTATTCGGCAAACTAGCAGGGGTATCTGAGGAAATCGAAAAATATGCCGCCAAGGGGAAGCTAGCGTGGATCCTTGAGGCAAGGCCAAACGCGAGATCAGAAGAGCGAAATCTACCCGCCAAAACCAACTAAAAAAAGAATTGACCTGGACACTCGGCGCGCAAACAGTCACAAATCGTGTACCGCTCCTCGTCGACGACCAGGCGGCCTGAAAAAAATTCTTTTTAAAAAATTGGAAATCTTCACACCTTGTTGATCGTGATAGATGCGACGGGCGGATGCTGAAAAACGGGATTTTGTTAATTGAAATAAACGAAAATCGAGAAACAGTAAAGTGTTGAAGAAAAACGAACATGAGTAGCTACTTGTGCCAAGTGTGTCGTAGCCCGAGTCGCGGTATCTTGAAGCGAAGGAGTCACCTGCAAAAAGGACGAAATCATCGGGCAAAGCCAAAAACGCATTTTCAAAAGCGGCTAAACGCGATAAAAGCTTATTTGGTCTCTTGGTTTTTAATTTGAAGAAATTTAAGAGCAAAAATGTGCTTTTTATATCGTAAAAATGGATTAGAAAGCCTAGAAAGCTTTAAAAATTCCGAATATGAGCAAAAAATGTTCTAATTTTTGTAAAACTGCGCTAAAAATAATATTTATATCGGAAAACCCAGCTCTTAACTACGCGAAAAGCATGGAAATAGCTGAATCTAGTTTCTTTAAGCTATTTCGAATTGTCTGGCAAAAAAAAAATCAGATTCTAAAGCGAATTTTGGATGTAAAATGCTTAGAATCAGCTAGCGAAAGGTTTTAGGAGCGGAAATAACGTCACTAGCCCTTGGAAAGAGCGGGAAAACCACCTAGATTATCGTGAAAATCCCTGAGAAACCTCACCAGTAGCCGCGGGGCGTAGCGGGCGCTGGCCCCTCCCCTCACGCGCCACCGTCGCCAAGTCGGGCATGATGGCGCTCGAGCCGGGGTTGTCGAACTGGAGATTCCGCAACTCTTTCGACATCAGGTGCTGGCGGACTGGAATCAGATGATTTAATAATTTCAATTTTAATCACGAGAAAATGGACGAATGTTATTTTCACCGAAATCTTCAGCAGGCCTAGTAACTTATTAATCAGTATTTTAATCGCGCTTTTACAAAAATTTAAGTAAATTTCAATGAAAAACACATTTAAAAAACGTGGAAAGATATTTTCGTCGATATTCTGGTCGAAAATCCCTCTTGTTGCTTGAAAATCAGTTTTCTTATCTTTTATCAATTGAAAATCAAATTTTTCAGTTTTTAGGTTTAGAAATAAGAAAAAAGCATAGAAACACTACCAGCATTTATCTTTATTGAATCCTTAGAATTTTCCCCCTCCCCCCGATAACGTGAAAGTACCGCGACAAAGGTGGATTCAGCGAACTGAGCTTTTGGCAAGATGGAAATTCTACAAAATCGGCCTTTTAATCGTCAAAAAAGGTACGCACCAAAATCGTGTTGACTGTTGCTGTAGCCGCTGTGCTCCATCTCGGTCGTGTCGTCCCCATCCGCCGGATCCACCGCCATCCCCGTGCCCGACGGCAAATCTGAATAATCACGCTTTATTTACGTTTTTTAGAAGTTAAATAAAGCTTTTTTACAGTAAATTTCATCAATTTCCAGCTATAAACGTTTAGAAAGTGTCAGAAAAATCGCAAATTTCGACACTCGGCAATCGAGAGATGAAGGTATTGACACTTTACGTCTTTTCACGCTAGAAACCCTTCTTAAAACAATAACATCATAAAATAACAACCCTGAAAATTAATTTCCAGAAAATTCTGATAAATTGAGACCTAGAAAAAGTCGAAAAAATCGTCAATTTTGCACAGATTTGGAGACCTAAAAGCCCGAAGGTGTAGATTTTCAGTCTACGCATCTTTTTACGTAAAAAACACCTTCAAAAATCAACCAAAAATCGTCAAAAACGAAGCTAAAACCGCAAAAACCCAAAAAAATAATTTACCCTGCGATTCCGCGGCGGGCCCGTCGTACGCCATCGCGTCGATGGCCGCCAGCAGCAATTCGTTGCTGCTCTCCATTTTCTGAAATTTAAATTGCGTTTTAAAGACTATTAAAAATAAAATAACAAGGGTTTTAAAACATTTTTTCAAATTTCATTCGGCCGCCGCCTTTCGTGACCCGGGCCGTACTCCAGTCCTGCGCCCTTTCCACCGTACCCCACCCCTGCCGTCCCACACCCAACACGCTCCTTTCGCTCCACCGATTTTCTATTTTTGCGTGCACCCAACGAATTGGTGCCGTTACTATGCCAAATTTTTCAATTTCACTTTCTTCTTTGTCGATTTAGCGTGTTTACAACCCCCTTTTCAGGTAATGGTCAACGTACCGAAGGCCCGCAAGACCTTCTGCGACGGCAAGTGCCGCAAGCACACCAACCACAAGGTCACCCAATACAAGAAGGGAAAGGAATCGACGTTCGCCCAAGGTATACAGCTTTTCCGATTTGTTGCACTGGCCTGTAAACGTTGCGCACCTTTCTTGGTCCCCCGTAGTTTTTCGTTGTCGTAAAATCGTGAAATTCTGCTTCGTTGGTGTACGTTTGCTTCCCGGCGCTTAGGTTCCTAGATGTTTTGAACCGAGTTTTGCCCGTTACTTTCGTCGCTTTTAGTATGTTGGGATAGTAATTTAGAATTATCAGCGCGGCGGCTTTTTCTAGTCGTTTAGTAGCTAATCCAAGATCTAAATTTGATGTCGTCATGACGTATTTCTTCGAAAACGGCATTGGGGCTGGCGAATCATTTAAATACTTCCATGGATTGTCCTTTATTGCTCAATGCGTTTTTAGGGCGCGTATCGCATTTCGTTAGATGGCTTTTTAGCTTGACGCCCTCGTTGCGTCATCAAGTTCCCATAATTTCACGTGCCCCGTAGCTGCCCTATTGCTTTTAATTCGCTTGTCGGAAGTAATAGCTAGGGATGCTTGTTGATTGTTTTTATCACTTTTTAGTCTCCACTAGCCCGATTTTCTGAACCGCTTTCCTGCATGCCAGCCTCCAGTTTTTCTTCGGGCGCTTGGGGGTGGTGCTGACTTTTTGTGAGGGTCTTTTGAACCAATAGCGTCTTTCTTGACACTTGGAGCTTGTGCTGAACGTCAAAGCCTCACACCCCTATTTAACTTTTCATTTTCAGGTCGAAGGAGATACGACGCCAAGCAGTCCGGCTTCGGAGGTCAATCCAAGCCCATCTTCCGAAAGAAGGCCAAGACGACAAAGAAGATCGTGCTGAGGATGGAGTGCACCGAGTGCAAGCACAAGAAGCAGTTGGCCATCAAGCGCTGCAAGCACTTCGAGCTGGGAGGTCAGAAGAAGTCCAGGAACGCCGTCATCCAATTCTAATTCCTCGGTCCTTCTTTTGTGTTTTTGTTGGTTATTCATTAAATGCTGATAAACTGTTTTTACTCTACAACAAATCGTGAAGCACATTGAAACGATACATCCGATAATCTTTGCTTGGAGGCGAATTGTTGGAATTGGGCTCTTGGCTGCTGAGATTGCGATGGTGTGGCGCTTCATGCGTTTTTCGTTCACATCTTGAATTGCGTAGCGCTGTCGCTGTCCTTTGCGCGCCGATTTAAAGGGCTGGAGAAAGATGGGCCGGCGTCCGTCGGGGTGACGGACCGCCGCGGCACTACCATCGACACTTTCCCTCGCGTAAGCGCCCCCAAAACCCCCTCTCGCGTTTGAAGAAACCAGTTATTTGGCTATAACTTTTTCATTTAGCAATGTTTTCAACTAAAAATTTCCGTAGATCGAGGACTTAGTGATACGCATTGATGGTAAAAATTTCAGCCGGATTGGATAAAAGGCGGTCAAGTTCTAAGCCATACGGGGTTTTGGGACACTGTTTCGGCTGAAAAAAAGAGGCGCATAGACAGCAAAACATCTCTAGAAAGTTGCAAAGTACGTTGCTATCCTTTAGCTAGGTTTTTACAACATTTTTTTAGCTATTATCGCCATGAAATTGCTTTATTTCTAATGGCAGTTCTTGTACAGGTGGCGAACCGCCCTAGGGTATGTGGGGGCCCTCCGCCGCCCGTCTCCAGTCGACTCTTTGGTGTACTGGCTAGCGCATCGGACCGCGGGGCGGACCATCCCTGGTTCGACCCCCGTCCGGTGCGACCCTCTTTGCTCTTTCAGCAATTCCATCTTTCTCCAGCCCTTTAACCTGCAAGAAATAACATCGTTTTCGGGCTGCCAGCTTCTCGTCGGCCAAAGACACGTCGAATGCGCTGCTGACCACCTCGGATGTATCGGATTGTGGAACGGAGCGTGCTGAGCAGTTTGTCAACGTCTATTGCGCTAATTTCCGAATAGGGTCATGGACGGTCGACCCGGAAGGATGTCGGATCGGTCGTGACCCGGCCCAGTGCAGAATCCAGCTTCCCGTCGCTGCCCCAGGAGTGAGCCGCGTGCACGCTTCACTCGAATTTAGAGGGGTAAATTTTTGACTTAACAAAGCGCATTGAGCCATGTGAGACGTGCTGTGCTTATACTCCTGCGTTACTTTGCGCCTGCAAGCGTTTGCGATGGGAAGAAGCCGGCTAGGAGAGGCAAAATAGGCCCGAATCGGGCTCAAAATTGGCCCAACTTTAGAGTCGACAATTACTCTAGTTTTTAAATTTTAGAGCTTTCGACATGGGAGATATTTAAGCTGAAAGTGGACAAAATGGCAAACAAGAAACGGAAAAGCTCAGATTTTAGTTGGCATATCGACTTTAGACCCAAAAAATTAAGCATTTAATAGCTGGTAAATGTTCAGCAACTTTGGCTCTGTTTTTGTGCCGATTATGAGCCTGGCAGGCCTATTTAGTCCCTATCACTACGCGCAGGAAATTTCGGACTCAAAGTTATTGGCCAGGCGTTATTTACCGCCGAAAGTGCACAAAAAAAGCACCTGGACCCTGTTTTTTTTAGCTACAGAACCAGAGAAAAAGGCGAAATATCATATTCCCCTTTAGAAACAACTCTACCTAAACGACGCCAGCTCGTACGGGACGGCGATAAACGGCGTCAACTACGTGAAAAAGTCGCACCCGCTCAACGACGGCGACACGTTCATCGTTGGCGACCACGAGTTTGTCGTTGAGGTATTTCTGAGGCTCTGGACCTGAAATCAAGTTTTTAGATCCTGCCCGAGATGAAGCCGCCGCCAAACCAGCAACAAGCCAAGATCACGGGCTTCTTCGCGGCCAGCCAGGGCACCCAGCGCGCCACGCAGCGCAACTCGATCGAGGTGTTGGGCGAGAATACGCAGCGGTATCGATTTTGGTTTTTTCGCATTATCAGGGGGCGCAAAACGTAAAAACTTCCCAAATTTTTATGAAAAACTACAAAAATAGCGATTTTTCGACCAAAATGTCGACTTTTTGGAAGATATTTAAAAGTCGTTAGATGGATTTCGTAGTTGGAAGTTCCTTCTATTCTACTAGAGCCTTATTAAAATACCTTCTATTCAGTTATTTGGCATTTCTCGACTTCTAGAAAAACTTTTGTCCACCCCCAATAATGTTTTTTTCTACACCTTTTTTAGGTCAAGCGCGAAACGAAGCGCCGGCTCGAGCAATATATCGCAGAAGTCACAAGTCGATTCCTCGCCCCAGCAGCCCATTTCCAGCGTCCCCACCCCGAGCCAAAGGGCGAATTACTCGCTGAAGACTGATGAGACCCAGCGGTGAGGTTTTTGAGCCGGAAAAGCCGATTTTTTGCCTTCTTAGCCGGAACAAGCCTCAAAAATCGATCGGACTTGTTAAACCTCCAGTTTTTAGCAGCAGCGTTGCGAGTTCGGCGGCGGCAACGACAAGCCGGACAGCGCCTCCAGCGCCCAAACGAATCCCCTCCACGTCGGCCAATGCCAATTCGGGTAATTTTAAGGTTCTGACCGAATTTTGTGAATTCCAGCAAAATCCGCCTTCTTCGACGATGATGACATCATTTCCGTGCCCTCGTCGTCGACAACCCAGAATCGCGGTAGCTTTTTTGAACGATCGAAAATTAGTCTTTTAGGCGGTAATGGTCGACTGCAAGCCCGCGCCTCTGCCCTTCAAACCATCAACAATCGAAAGTCGACGACAAGCGGCGAGGAGGGTACGCAAAATTCCGCTCCTTCTGCGCATACGACGAGGCGAGGGATGCCGGAAAGGGTACAGATTTTTCAGGACGTCTTTTCGAATTTCGCTGCCAAAAGACTGAATTTTCATCATACGAATTCGGCATATTGAAAAATCTGTATTTTGATAATCGGCATTAGAAAATTCGGTCTTGTGAAAGCCGGCATTCAAAATTTGCCGTTATTGAGTATTCGCGGGAACAAAACATTGTTTCGATGGCTCCGGGAGTGCCTAGTAAAAAAATGCAGTGTTTTGTACTGTTTTTAGAAAAATAGGCTATATTTGAAGCAGAAAAACATTCGAAAATCTTTGAAAAAGTCGAAACCCCCGGTTTTTCGATCTAAAACGTTTTTATAATCAAGAGTTATGAAGTTTTACGGCCCAGGAATAGTGGCAAAAAAAACGTACATCGTACGTAAGCGTTATTTAACGGGAACAATCTGAATATTAGATGGCGAATATTTTCTCACTTACAGATCCCATCAACGAGTGCCCAGCTGAAGCGCTCGGATCCGCCTTCGCAAAGCAGACTGACGAGCTCGAGGAGGTCAATTTATCTAGATTTTCCTGATCCTTATTTTTTAGTTCTGCCCCGCAAAACGAAACGCAGTCCGAGTTACTGACGTCGATGATCAAGGAGGAGCCGGAAGAGGACGAATTATTCGTGTTGCCGCCCGCCAAACGAATATGCGCTGAGGTAGCACAGAAAATCGTAATTTGCTTCTTTCGGATTATCGGGGGGCAGACAATTTTTCCCGATGAGTTTAGCCGTTTTTTAAATTTTTGAAGGTTCTTAAAATTAAAATTTAGGTTTATAAACACTTCCTCGAGTTATATTAGCACTCCCCCCGATAATCAACAAGCACCCGCAATTCAAAATCTTGATTTTCAGCCGAGGGCAACCCGGCAATCTGCCATGAAACAAGAGAGCCAGGCAAGCAATTCGAGTCAAGCCAGCCGGAGAACACCCCTATCATCAAGCGGAAAGGACAACTACCAGGAGCTGCGCGATAAATTTGTGAGTTTGAAATTGGGCTGGTGGCAGGCTAGTAAACTTCCTTGGAGGATTCGACGTGTTTGCCGCTCATATCCCCTAAGATTCCGTTTTTCAGTCGGATCTCAGCGCCCAGTTCTGCAGCGGGAATTCGGCTGTCGCAGGAGAAGAAGCCGATTCTGAGGAACGTCCACAGGTATTTTCATTTTTATTAATTTTAGAATATAATCGATTTTTAGGACAATGAAATGGACAGTCAAGCACACGATCTCGAGATTAGTCGCCTCGATCGGGTAAATTAAATGTATTTTTCATTAAAAAACTGCCTTTTTAGCCAATCGTGACGCAGTTCAGCGACCTCTTCCGCAAGACGCAGCCCCGCCAATCGCCCGGTGGATTCTCGTTGAACACCCTCGACACGTCCAAGCCCAATTTCAAGCGGTTCAGGAAGGTCGGTAAACGTTTTTGAATTGCTCTGCTAGCCGTCCTACAATTCCTCAAAGAATCTCTGCTACCTATCCTCCTTTCTATGGCATTTTTTCAGGCTCAACAAGGCCGCTTCAACGCCTCGATTCACCCGGAGATGACGGAGACAAATCGTCGTCTCCCACCCGCTCGTCTCGCCGGCGCTGATCTCGCCGATTTCAGGAAGTTTGCCCCCGGAGAGAATCTAGACTAGCAATCATTCATTTGTCGATCGATTCGTTGTACATTTTCTGGTCACACTTTGGTTTTGATCCCCCGGTTTTTTGCGCATCTCAAGGAATAAAGTTCGTTTTCATTAAAAATGTTTTTATTATGATTTATTCCTTTTTGCCGCCATCTAGAAAAACGCAACGGCAAATACCCACACACAAAAAACGCATGAAAAATGTGACCCGGAATGGCAATAGCTATACACAGCAAAATGAAAAAGCAAACACAAAAAAGTGGGGGGTTATCAAAACGTAGCGGAGGCGGGGGGAATTCACAGATTTGGGGGGCTTAAAAACAAAAAAAAACACGGAAGAATTAAATAGTTGGTCTTGTTAGTAGATTTGCTCAAAATCGACGCATTTGCCCGTCTCGTTGACGAATCGCATACGGTAGTAGACGGTCAGCGAACGGATCCATGCCTGGAAAAACTAGACGATTAAGCGGAGTGCGACGCCAAAATTGGAAATTAGCATTTCGTTTCAGAAGCTAGAGGATTTGAAATTTGATCTAGCCCAAACAAGCCCAGTAACGAAATAAGGTGTAGTTTGTCCTGTTTCTCTCAGTTCCGGTAACTAAAAAATTGGTGTCTCTAAAAATTTCAAATTCCTCCTATTTCGCGTCGTTTTATTCATCAAATTGAATTGTTTCTAACGATATTTCTAACCTTAAAAGGATCCCGACGATACCAAGTCCAGATTATGCTAACGCGGGGTTTTCAAGTGGACAAAACGCGCGATAAAACGCTCGAGAAGTGGGTTTGGTACTGGACTGTTAGCGGGGCGACACTAAATTCTATATTTTCATAGTGTTTTTCCCAATTTTTGATTGCCAAAAAGTTATCAAAATGTTTCAAAAACTTGAAAATTCGAAAAAGGTGTATAATGCATGAAAATGGTTTTAGTTTTAGAGCCGTACGGAATTAGTCAGCGAAAATTTGTTCCCTCCGCTAAAAATCCAGTACCATTTTTTTCGTCACCGAAAACAGGCTTCGGGTTTTTGGGTGCACAGTGTAATACGGTAGCACCACCACCCGGCCGACCCGAGCCCCCCGTTTCTTGCACTTTCCAGGGTCATCCTGATATCGCTATCAGCAGCGTGCAAAGACCGTGGAAATCCGGAAATTGGGCGCCCGGGAGATTACGGGAATAGACCAGGCTCGTACTCAGGATCAACGCGTACAATCCACCAAATGAATTACCTGCTCGTTGCCGAACTTGAGCTTGTAGACGCCGGGGCCCGGCACGCGAATTCGCAGCCAATCCACCGTCGGCATTCCCGGGTAGTCGAAATCGGGGCACCTGAAAAAAGGACAATGAAAATACTCTGATCTTGTTATACCATTCCTCCATCTCGTCCAGCTCCCAATCGACGGCCGCCGGATTCGTGCTGTACCACACGCCCTGCCCGAACGTCCGGTCGCAGAACCTGAAAAAAAATCATTTTGAACGGATTGCGAAACAAGAAACTGCTAAAAACTAACTTTACAACCCGGATTTTCACCGTTTTTTTACAACATTGTACAAATTATCCTACGTAATCCTACGTATTTTTTTACACTTTATCGAATGGCGTTAAAGGGGCTCCGAACTGCCAAATCAAAGCCCTTTTGGGAGGGCTCTTTGATTTCTGGCAAATTGCCAGCGGGCGCTGCGGGACGCGAGCCATCACTCTTTCGATTTTTGCGCCAAGTTGTTTTTGCCCGGTTTCTTTGTGAAAACACTATAATTCGCGCATTCTGAGCCCATTTTTGAAATCCTCACTCAATTTGAAATAGTTTTGGTGTTTTAATCATCAAATTTGGCCCAGAAACAGCCGAGAACGTGATTTCGAGGTGACAACAGACAATTTCAAATTAGCGAGCTTCCCGCTCCCCTAGGTGTACAGAGGCCTCCGACGTACAGGGTTCAGATTTTCGGGCTGTCACTCAATCTTTGGCATTTCGTAGCCCCTTTAAAGACGCGGCCGATTTTATGATTTAGGTATCTATCGCTCCATCCATCTCTTGGAAAGGAGAATCTGGGCAATATCTTCGCTTCTCGAAAGCCGGACAATTTTCTGACGTTTAATAATTGTTTTGCAAAAGCGCCGAATTTTTGATGCTTTTCCGATCGGAAGTTTTCCACAAAAATCAAAACTGATGAATTTTTACGTCTTCTCCGTCAGCCCGACCAAGTTTTTATAGGTATTGGTGAAAAACGAGCTTGGATTGCGCTTAATCCTATTTAACTTCGAAAAAGCGTGACTTTTGCAGGAAAAATCCCTAAAATCGAATACTAAATTAAGAAAATTCGAAAATCGGAGAAAACACCCAGACTCGCCTTTCCGAGACGTTTCGATAGATACCTAAAACGTAAAAACCCGGCACGGTTCTGGACCGCTAGCGAGGGGGAGAGCGGAAACGTACCGATTCAAGATGAAGAAAATCTTCTCATCCGTGCTCTTGACGACAAACGTCAACACTTTGCCTTGTCGCGCCGGGACCGTTAACGCCGTCAGATCCTGGAATACAAAAATGATCGATAAACAAAAGATTATTTACCTTAATAGCTGGCGACTCGTGATCGGGGACCCAGTAGAGACTGTGCGGGATTGGATCGGATGGGATGTTGAGAATCTCTCGGCACATCGGATCACCCGTCGAATCGACCTTCGTGCCGCCCCAGTGCGCCGGAAGATTCTCCGGGCGGGAGAGCTGAAAATAAGAATTATACTTGACGCAACGTCAGCTATAAATCTCCGAAGCTTTCACTTTGACCGCTACACGCAACGCGTACGCTGGCCGCGTTCAATGGGTCGACATCCACTACGCAATGACAGCGAAATCCGGTGGATTTACAAGGCTTTTGCGCGCCGAGAGGAAACGGGAGGATGGATACGTTGCGTGTCGCGGCGCATTCGCCCCTCTCATCCAATGCTAGTAGAAATACCTGCAAAAGCTGCGCCTTCCAGTCGCTGCCCGCCGTGCAGATCTTCACCTTGCCTCGCGTCCTCTCCGGAAGAAACGGGACAATGGCCTGAAAATAAGGATAAAAATGAGCTCAAAAATCCGTATAACCGATTACGACTAATTTCATGGAGGACCCAATTGTTTACAAAGTTTGCTTAAAACCACGAAAAAATACCTAGTTTTCGACCAAAAATCTAACTAACAAATTTTCTGAGCTTTTTTAAGCGTTTTCCACTTGAAATAAACTTAAATTATACGAAAAACGTTTTTAAAATGCTTATTATTCTTTTTACTAGGTCATTCCGGACGCTTAGGAAAAATACTACGAAAAAAGCTAATTTTGCCATCAAATCGTCTTAAGAACCGGTTTAATCGATAAAGCATTACTTTCAAGCAGAAAAAGTCTTAAAATCGCGCTCCTCAACGGGAGGGTTTTTGACCCTCTGACGTAAGTGTGTGCCGGGGCGCGCTTTAGCAGTGACAGAGTTCCGGGCGCGCCACATTACGCATGGCCGTAAGGTGTATAGAACGGAATACTTTTTAATTAATTTTTCTACTTTAATTTCTTACTTCTTACAAAGAGAATATACATGTAATAGTAAAAGAAGCATGTGGAAAGCTTTTTACTAACCAGAGGACAGTGTTTTCGCGAGTTCGGAACTGATGATTGTCACCACATAGATTTATACTGAGGAGAATCATTTACTTTAGCTTGGTGTTAATGTTCGTCATAATATTTGTGTATGAAAGGAAAATGACCTGAAATCTCTAAACTTAAAATGAAGCATGCAAAGAGCCCACGGCTTGACGAGAGTACAACATAAACTCGAGCCACTCCTGGACCCGCTACCATGTAAGATTTTTAGGCTTCTTCGAAAGAGTTAAAGTTTTCGCAATTCTTCACCTGTCTGTGGTTTTATATGATTCTTCATTGGCGTTTGTATCTTGTATCTCCTTAGCTTTCATTGGCCATTCACAGCCTACTTTGCGAAAGTTCCTGCGCCCCTGCTTCTTTGTAATGACTGGCTTTTTGTAATTAAAGACATCGCGGTAGCTTCTGATTTAGAAAAAGTATTTCAGACGAAAGTCTACAACTAATATCGGGCAGAAGTGAACCAATCAGCAAAAATACTGGTATATATTCCCAAAATTCCGAAAAGCCCTGATACTGACGATTAACTGTTCCAGATTTACCATAAATAGGTTCTTTTATTTATTAAAAAGCCTTCTGCATACTTCTTTTACTTTATATATCCACTTTGTAAAAAATAAATTCAGAAAGTATTCCGTTCTATACACCTTACGCCCGTGCGTAATGTGGCGCTTCCGGAACCCCTCACTGCTAAAGCGCGCCCCGGCACACACTTACGTCAGAGGGTCAAAAACCCTCCCGTCGCTCCTCACCTTCCAAACAATGGAGATGAACGAGGGCACGTTGACCATCACGAATTGGTCGATCCATTCCGGGTAGTTCATGTAGACAGAGGCCCAAAGGATACGGTACGGGCCTAAAAAGGAGATACACAACATTCTCGGGGCTTTTCCTTACCGGTCACAACCTGCAGGAGTGACGGGTCGAACTTGAGGCCCTCGAGGTCGAGAATGTAGATGACGGACGCTTGCTTGCCGGTCTTCGCCTCGATCGCGTTCATCTGGGCCAGCATTTGCTCTTGGAAACGGGCCCTGAAAAAGCACAATCTCGTGGGGATTTCCTAAAAGATGTTTGCTAGCCTATCCAGACAAAATGCGCGCCGAAATTTGACGAAATTCCTGTACAATTCGAAAAATTATTTTTGAGCTCAAATTTTAGCTTTTAACCGTTTTCAAGGTTTAAAATTCAAGTTCAAGCAAAGATTTTGAATTCCACAAAAAAAAAACAAGAAAAACGGGTCGTAATAGATTTTTATGCGAAATTGACATACTTCTTGATGTGAAAACGCAAATTAGCACGAATTTCTAAAACTAAAAAACTGAACAAGGAACGGACGGTGATGATACGGACGGCCAGTAGATTTGCATAGCCTTCCGCAAGCGTCTTTGCTAGCTTGCCCTTTGGCCATTGAAGCAAATAGTTTCAAAATTACCTTTGTATCAGGAAATCGGAGAGCTGGACGGCCCGCAAGATGCCCATCAGATCGATCTTGCCGGCGCTCTCGATGACGAGCAGCGTGTTCCCGCGTCCCGTCTCACCTGAAAAGAAAATTAACTTTGAAAAATCCGGTTCTTTTGCATTATCGGTGGGAGGGTTTAGAAAGCCTAGGACTTAGAAATCGCTAGTCACTCAATAGGAGGTCTTTTATTAGCGTTTTTAGTAAAACAAAACTCTATAAAAGCTTTTTAAAAATAAAAATTTTGCCAAAATCAGTCATTTTCGCTCGAAATCGACACTTTGGTATTTTTAACACTAAAATTTTCAAAGTTTATACGTTTCGGAAGAGTAAAAACACTTTAGACACGCTTCCTCAATTTGTATTTCAAGAATTTGATCCTTAGAAAAAACGTTGGCCGCCCGATAATGCATAAGAACCAAAAATTTCGCCAAAAACCGACCAACAAGCCCAATGGGGAAGTATTTTTTCAGGATCTCGTGCTCCTTGATCTGGTGGTGATTGTCGAGGTCGTAATACCTAAAAAATAACTTATTTACGAAAATCTGACAATTCTTTACCTTCTAAACTTGAGGTGACGCCGCAAATGTTCGAGGGCCTCGTCCTTGTTGTGGCTGTAGCCCTGGAAAAATACTGTACTTTTTAATGGCCCAAAACGATACCTGTGCCCATCGCAGCAGGTTGAAGTCAGTGTCGTAGTAGCTGGACAGCAGATCGCTCGACTAAATTTGAAAAATTGATAAAATTAAAACTTGAAACCGACATGTTCTCGCAAGAATTCGATGCACTCGCGATCCTCGTCGTTCATCTCGTCGTTGTTGTTCTGAAAACAAGAAGTAAATAAAAAAGAGGGCAACGAGGGTATTCCCCTAGGAATTGTTTCAAAATTGTTTTTTTTAACGCGAAAAAGGTTACAAAAAATCGTGTGAAAAGATTAATACCCCGTCTAAAACTATTCAAAAACGACGCTTGATAAAAGGGAAGTTTTTGCGGCTTGCAAAACCACTCAAAAAGGGAAGTTTTTAATGCTTGAAAACCATTAAAAAACGTTTAAAAAAAGGAAGTTAAACGCTTTCAAAACCCTAGTTTTTAATGCTTTTAAGACAATTGAAAAAAAAACACTCTTTTCAACGAAGTTCTCCCGCCCTTCAAGCTTCGAAAAAGAACGTTTTTAACGATTTGAAAACTTGAAAAAGTAGTTTTCAACGCTTTTGAAAGTTTTTAAACCGGCGCTTCAAAAAGGAGTTAGTTTTCAACGCTTTTAAACTAATGATAGATTGGCGTCAGCCGAACAAGTTCACGAGAAGAACTGACCGCAGCGGGGATGGCCTTCGGCTCTAACGTTGGCTTGGTCATGGCTGTGTTGGGCGAAGGAGGAGATGGAACAAACGCACCGGTGGTTGAACACTGCAAAATTAACGGTTTTTGAGGTATTTGAGCAAGGCGAGAACGCGGAAACGGAGGAAGTTAAGGAAATAAAGCAATAGAAGAACTTGACGAAGAATATAAAGACCTTCCAGCCGAGAAAAATCGATCGAAATCAGAAGCGGGAAAGATCCAGCAAATAAAATGCCATGAGCGGTCAAAGAAATTGGAAACTGCAAAGAATTAGAAGTCAGAAAGAGTAAATTGGCAAACCATAGCTAAAAAGTCCTCGAAATCCCGAAACTGCTCTGCGCAGTACGTTTTGCACCAAATTACGCAAACCGTATGGTGGAAAGAACGGAATCGCCTAGAATTACAATTTTAGAGCCAAAATCGAATTAGAAAACGAAAAATATAAGAAAAAGCCACACCTCTAAAAACAGAAAAAGGCGCTAAAAATGCCGCAATTCATATTAGCTATCGTTTCTGGAACGATTGCCTGTTTTTCTCGAAATTCTGGTCATTTCAGGGCGCAAAAAATCAATTTTGTAGCTAAAATTAAATTTCAAGTGTATCACTCGAAAAGTCGGCGACCTGAAAATCGTGACGAAGCCCGCACTTGATAGGGTTGGTGGAACTGTTCCCGGGGGTTGACATTTCACCCCAAAAGAAAACCAGCGGTGACATGACAACCTATAGAACAGGGGGAAACATGCCACTCTGCCCCCCGCCGGTAACCAATTCCCGGTTTGGCGACCTGACGGCGGGCGCCGTTCAACCCACGAAACGACAAGAAGTTCTGCATAGTCATGGGGGGCAATCGAGGGTTTTGGGCAAAAACAGGTCAGAGATCTCTACACGCAACCAAACATTTCCCACCACACACAGCATTCCGCCCTTACCAGTTGTGTTCGTTTGACCGGGACAGGATGGCAGACATACAGGGGAAGGGAGAATCTGCGCTCTGGCCCGGCCCCCTGTTCTCTTCCCCCGTACCCTATAGCCTAGTCTCACTCCTTCGCCGCCTATTCCGCGCCCCACCCCTCCCCTGTGTGTCTGCACCCCGCCGTCTGGCGCACTATCCGCCAGCCTACTCACGAACACCGCGGAATCATGTGCACAGTCTCCTGCGCTTCGCATCGTTATAAAACTGGAAATGGTGGTGAGGGCAAACTCGAGGGATGCGCGTCGAAATCGGCGGCTAATCCTGGAAATGTGAGATGTATAAAACGCTAAAAGTCATAAATTAACTGAGCCTTTAATTTAGGAAACGAAAAAAGGGCAGAAGGGCCAGTTTTTTTGCTGTAGATTCCGGTTGTCCAAAGGCTGTAAAACCGTGGAAAATGTTGGTCATTTTACGTCAAAAAATATTTTTTCGACCTAAAATAGCATTATTTTATTAAAAATTTATAAAGTTTTTATGCTGAAGATCAGCCAAAAAATCACAAACCCCTCCGCTATTGATATACAGGCCTGCGCAGAAAAAGGTTCGCCCTACCCCCGGAATCCCTAAAGAACCCCCGGTTCTAGGCTCTTAGCGGGGGTATTTTTCCGCGACGAATAAAGGATACGTTTATATAATACCCTTACTTTTCATGAGTTTTTGATTTGATAGGAATTATCTAACTTTCATGAATTTTTGACCAACAAATCAAAATTTTGAAAATTGTTAGAATTTCCCTGCTTTTTATATAAAAAATATTATAAAATTCTCCAAAAAATCGCATTCCAGGGGCGACCGTAAGAAATTACTGGAGAAAATCGGTTTCCCACTCCCACCTCCCCCCGCTAACAGCCCAGTATCAAAAACCCGAGCAACAGCTGTAAGGACGCCAGAAGCAACATCGTGGGCGGTCAGACAGACCGATACGTGACCTTCCCAGGAGAACCGGATACACAACTGTCGGCAAAGAGGAAGAGAAGCACGAGGAAGAGGAGCACGAGGTAGAGGAGCAAGAGGAAGAGTAGCAGGAGGGGCTGATCCGAATAGAATGAATGGTCAGTCGGCAGCCAAGCGATAGATAGATATGGGGGAGTGTCATATGCCCACAAATCTGAAGAGGAGAACGAGAAAGAGGAGCATGACCCCCTTTCTCGACCACTATCACCATATCCATTGCACGCGCACAACCCAGCAGCCTAAAAATTGGCGCACCTAAAAAAAATGGGTGCGGTAATTGTGAAAGTACAAACGAATAAGGCAAAAATACTAAATTCGGAAAGTTTTTGACCAGAATTCAGTATAGAAATGCGTCTAGAATCGCAAATTTGCTGTAATCTCGTTCTAGTGACCCTGGAAATTGGAAATCGGAAGGGAAATGAGAAAGTATCAACGAATCTCGTCAAAAAATCACTAAATTCTGAATGTTTTTGGCCAGAATTTAGCACAGAAACCACGGATAGCATCGAAATTAGCAGTAACCTCGATTCTACTAAAACCTAGAAATCAATGCACGTAAAAATGGCAGGAAATAGCGATAGTACAGCCGAATGGACGCCCAAAAAGGTTAAATTCTGAAATTTCTGGGCCAGAATTTCGCATGAAAATGTCGCTAGACTCGTAAATTTCAGAATACGAAGCCCAAACTCGGCGTAGACTGGATTTCGGCGTTTCCGGGGGCTCAAAATATCGTTAGAAAGGTTAAAAATCATTAAAAAGAGGTTAAAGGAGCTAATAATAAAGTGAAAGCGTGAAAAATTCATTTTTTCATCTCTAGCGACGCAAGGGTCGCTTTTTGAAAAGAGTCGCCGCGGCGCCGAGCGTTATAACAGAATTGCAATCGTAAAATGGAAATATCTTTAAAAAAACTTCAAAGTGAAATGTAGAAAATCGTTTTCAAAAAACAAAACGAGGATTTTAGGGCTCAGCAAACGATTCGCGCTTGTATGATCAGCTGGCGATGCCGCGCGCCAAGGACTGGATCTCGAAATGGAAAACGACGAAGAGCAAGAAGAGGAAGGAGCATCAATCGACGAGGAGAATCGAAAAACTTTGATTGTTCCAGCTACCGTGCTGCGCCGCGCCTGATGGGCTCGAAAACGAGGAACGCGGCAGAAAAACACATCGAAATCTAGCAAAAACCTCCCAAAAATTCGCAATTTATATGTTAAAATGCCCAGCAGATCGCGCTGAAGCAAAATACGTTGAGAAAACTTTGCGGCAAAAGCTGTCTCTCGAAGTATTTGGCGCATGTGTATCGTATCCGGTCATCTACCAAAAACCAACAGATTCTTCTATCAAAATGGGTGCTAATGCACTTAGGGGGCGGGGGGGGGGCGACAGTCCGAATTTTGACTACAAGACGCTCCAAATGCCGTTTTTTAAATCTAAGCCTCCGGAAAAGCTAGCTAAGCCTAAGCCTAGGGTTACTCGGGTAATGATTTACCCATGGGAACCCAGAAAACCCACGTTTACCCGTGGGTACCCGCGAAAACCCACAGGTACCCATGTTTTACCCATGGGAACCCGCAACCCGTGTTTACCCATGGGAACCCACGATTTACCCATGGGAACCCATGGGTAAATCTCGGGGGGAGAGAACCCATGGGAACCCATGTTTTACCCATGGGAACCCATGGGTTCCCATGGGTAAAATTGTACATAGTACTGTCACGATCACATCCCACTTTTCAGAAAATTTCCCCAAGTTTTCATTTTATTTTGTTTTTCTAACCTTTTCACCGAATAAAGTTATATATCCACAAGAACTGATAATTACTTGGATTAGGTAAGTTTGCTAAACGTGCTTTAGGTTTTTGAATGGTGGTCGACTTTAAAGCATCGCTTTGCGGCGTAATTTTTCTGATCAATTTAATTTTTATTTTTAGACGTATGGTATTGCCTCATTGATGCCTTTTTCAAGAAGGAATAGGTACTACGCCATCAACTACGCGAGTTCTTGTAAGTATACCGTCTGTTTTTCCTATAATGCGTTCCAGATTTGAGAGTATACTTCCGTGTTACAAAGAATTGGTTAGATGGTGAGTAGTAGTACAACTTTATCTTTCTTTCATTAGGTACTGAAACTGAATCGGGGCAATCGGTAGCTGCGACGTGTTTTATCAAGGGATTCGTCTACCATAAAGGCCGTGCAAAGTCGGAAACGAAAAGTAAGTATGTTTTTGAGCTCCTTGAGCTGTAAACGGATACTTTCTAGGTTCTATGCCTAAATCACGGACTGCTCTACACGCCCATCGGCTGCTTCCAGTCGATTAACCGTAGGTTCATCAAAAAAGCAGCAGCCCTGAAGCTATGAAAACGACAAAGCCAAAAAAGGTGGCTATTTTAGTTACTGCCGATGCTCCCGCCTCGATCTACATGAGGGTCACAACTAAGCGTCGGACTGCCAAACAATTGCCTTTTGAAAGTACCACCTTATTAGTGAAAAGCAAAGTAAAATAAAAGTAAAGTGTAAACTACAAGCACCTCCTGTCCCGTAATTTACCCATGGGAACCCACGATCTACCCATGGGTACCCAGAGAAACCCGCGATTTACCCATGGGTACCCATGGGAACCCACGTCTTACCCATGGGAACCCATGGGTACCCAACGAAACCCATGATTTACCCATGGGAACCCATGGGTTCCCACGGGTAATCATGGGTTTACCCATGGGTAAATCGTGGGTTCCCATGGGTAAATCATTAGCCGAGAAGTTTAATACAAACGAAGCTTAAGCCAAGCTCTAAATTGCCACATTTTGATCTCGTAAGGCAATTTAAAGCTTAAGATAAGCTTAGCTTGGGCTTGGGTCGAATCCAGGGCCGTAGCTGACCCAAAATTTCGGGGGCGGCAAGGGTTTCGGGGGGCGGCGGTTCAAAACATCTGCCGTTTACCGCCCTTTTTCAAAAATTTTCAAAAATGATAAGGGTCCCCTTATCATTTTTTCGCCATCTGCAGATTTCGGGGGGCGGCATGCCCCCTGCCCCCTCCTACGGGCCTGGTCGAATCAATGCGCCGTTGAAGCTAACAAGGAGTCGCTTTTAGGTGCTTTTGGAGTTTCGGGACGGGACCTAGCTAGTTCGATAGAGAAAAAAATTCTGAGCAACATCCCGTTTTCAAAAAGTGCTGATCGATAAAGCTGTTTTAGAAAATTGAATTTAATTAAAAATGTTCCCGGTGTCCGGACCTTGTGGTGATTTGAGGTGATTTGCGGCGGTCGATCGCCCTTGCCACATGAGGACTTCACGCGCCTTGGATCTCGTCCTATGCATGGCCAAGTGGCTAGTGCGTTGGCCTACGAAGTTTTTTTTGGCCTTTTGCCACAAGTTCGATTCTTATTTATTGCTAACTTTTTGCTTTTTTGTTAATTAAAATTTTATGCACTGATAACGGGTTCAAGAACCAAAAAGCAAAGAGTTAGCCAGCGCGAAGATTCGAACCCGAGGCAAAAAATGTTAAAAAAGTTGGTAGGCAAGCGCGCTACCAATACGCTAATGTAACCTGTGATCGAGGCATTGGCGGAGGGTTACGAATGGCGCCCTGCCCAGCCCCGAAAACGACGTGAACCGAGGAAATGGACCCGGAAAACCAGAAAAAACGCGAACTTTAAATTAAATTTTCTAAAATTCCTTTATCGATCAGCACTTTTTTGAAAACGGGATGTTGCTCAGAATTTTTTCTCTATCGAACTAGCTAGGTCCCGTCCCGAAACTCCAAAAGCACCTAAAAGCGACTCCTTGTAAGTTAGTCCTCGGCTTAAGCTCAAAACCAAGTAGCATAGGCGGACTGTTACCGACTGCCTCCCTAACTGCATCAACACCTCAAAGTGTTCGGTTTGTCGGGTCCACGAACCAGTTGAGGAAACTTTTCGGAAACGTCTCTTTCTCGGGAGATTTCGGCTAGAAGATTTCTAAAAACCAGGAAATAACGGTTCTGCGTAGTACGCATTATACCAAATTACGGAAATCGTATGCTGGAAAGAACGGAATCGCTTGGAATTGTAAGTTACGCTCGAAAACGAGGAGCGTCGAATGAAAACACGTAGAATTTCTAGAAGCCTAGCAAAAATAATTTTCGAAAAATCAGGAACGCTCAACCCAAATGCGTGCATATCGCCTAGTTACGCCGAATTCCCAAAAAGTGGGCGGAGCACGAGCTGGTGGTGAAAATGTATCCATGTCTTCACGTCGAGTACAACAGATAAAATCTGGAAAAAGGAGACGAATAGATCCAACGAACGAGCAGATCAGGAGAATCACGTCTCGACGTAGGGGAAAATCAGGAGGAAAACAAGTTGAAAGAAATGGCCGGGGGACCGGCGGAGGGTAGATACCATCTGAAGACTTCTTATTTTCTGGCGGGCAATTGGCCAAAATAAGACGACGGTCATTGACGTCAAAACGACGTGAAAATGGCGGGAAATGCGGTACTGGAATATTAGCGGGGGTGGTTTTTAGCGCAGGAAACTAACTTCGTTTTTCTGCCCATGCCTGCCTACCTGTTAATAATAATAAACGTTTTTTATATTGTTTTAAGCAGTTTTTGATGGCTAAAAGGTTGCAAAAACATTTTACAATTTTTTGTAGGTTAAAAAAGCCGTTCTTTCGCATGGGAACGAATTTTTTTGTATAAGTCTAGAAATGACTATTAGCATAATAGGGACCTCTTTTATAGTTTTTTAGTAAAATAAAACTAGATTTGGACTAGAAAACTATCGAAAACTTTTGAAAACTGGAAGAAAAGAAAGGAAAAAAGGCGAAATTTTGATCAAACCCGCTATTTTTGCTATTTTTTACTACAAATTTGTACTGTTTTCACGTTTAGGTATAATAAAAACTGTTTAGAAACAATTCTGCTATTTATATTTAAAGATTAGTCTTAAGAAAAGGGCTGATCCCCCACGCTAATGCGAAAGAACCCAAAATCTCATTTTTGGTCATTTTTCATGTATTTTTGGCCAAATAGTCAAAAATTTTCGACATTTTTCAAAATTTGTATGAGGTTTTTAGCTCCAAAAATGGTTAAAACGCGAGAGAAATGGGATCTACTTTGTGATAGGCATTATTAGAAAAATTAGTTGCCTCCCGCTAAAATCCCCCCCCCGCTAACAGTCCAGTGCCAGAACAATAAGTTCGGAGAAAGTTCAACTCGACTGAACGTGTAGCAATCGCCGCGTGCTATTTTGTGGGGATTTTCTTACGAAAACAGTCTCACCCCCGAAAATGGTGACAAACAAGGGCAGGTTGGAGTAGGGGCAGAAAAGTCGAAATAAACATGGCACTCTTTCAGCTCCCACCCAAAAAACACATAAATACTGAAATGGGTTTTAGGGCTAGACGGTAGAGGCGCAAAATGACGCCTTTTCTCGGGAACTTTTTCTTCCCATGAAATCATCGCGGTTCGAGGCGTGAAAAATAAACAGGTTGATTTGGCACGCCTAGAACCGGTGCGGGGGACCTTACCTTAATTACCTTACATCAATATTAATAAACTTACCTGAAATTTTGGAAGTTTTGCAAGTGAAATCCGGAATAACTCGATGCGGTAGTGTGTTTTCGGTCCTTTCGCATATCGGGGGACCTCACTTTTTTTGTAGATGTCTACAAATGTTTGGCAACTTAATAGCAAGTGTTTTAATAAGGTTTTTAATCAAAAATAACTATATTTCAACTAGAAAACTATCTGGAAAAGTTTCGACAAAGTCGACATTCTGGTCAAAAAATGGCCGTTTTACTCTGTATTATTTTACTGTGTGATTTTCACTGTAAAAGGCGTATTTTTATCAGCATTTCCGTAATAATGACAGTAAGAAAATATAATTCCTATTTTTGCGTTCAATTCGGTGGTAATTCGATTGAAGACGATGCGGCGTGCCTTCTCTTTTGGCGCTCCTCCTCGTCGAGTGCGGCCTCTTTTTGGACGCGAGATTTCGCCTGGAAAGGTATATTTAATCCTCTAAACTGATTAAGCTAATTAAATACATATTTTGACGTCGAAAGCCGACGGCCACGTACAATTTTCTGGCTTCTCCGCCGGCCGTTCGTGCACGAGTCCCAGCACAGCGATTCCATATCCGACAGCCGGATGCCGAGGGCCGACAGCGTTTTTTCGTCCTGAAGCGGGTATTGAAAATATATTTTAAAAAATATTGCTGGATTAAAGACAACGGGCTCTACAGGGTGTCCCAAAAAACCCCCCCCCCCTCTAGAGGCCGTCAATCGGATCGGATCGGAATGATTTTTATACCAATCGAAAGCTCTCGGAAAGGCGAGAAAACAAGCGGGTTTCGTTTTCTAAGATTTAATCTGATTCTATCGATATTTCAGGTTTTCCTAAAAGGCCGAGAATTTTTTATCAGGAATTTCGCAATTAGCATGCAGATCTCGCATAAATCAGCAGTTTTCATGGTTTTTGGACATAAAATTAGCAAATAAAAAGGCTTAATTAAGAAATTCAACTCTCCTTGTTTGCTCGCCTTTTCGAGAGCTTTCGATAGATACCTAAATCGTAAAAATCGGAATCGACTGCGGACCGCTAGGTAGGGGGGTTTTTTTTTGGGACACCCTGTATTTTGTGTATTGGCTGCCATCTAGCCTACCGCGCGCATCACCCGGGTTCGATTCCTTTGGGCGCCAAATTTTTTGCTTTTTGCTCCAGCTGCCCGATCGGGTCGTTTTTAATTAGTTTTTTTTGCATTATTAAAACGATCAAAATTAAAACGAATCGTCTACCATTTCCGCCCGGCGCTTCTCCTCGTCGATTCGCTTTGAGAGCACACTCATCCTCTCCATCACATATTCTACCGCACGACCAGAGGGGCCTGTTAAATTTGTTGCTCTTGACAGTGGCCCATCGTCCATTGAATCACTATAAATACTTGATTGATAAAACTGCCCGGTCTAGCCGAGATTCTTGGGGAAAGCTGGGCAGGCTAGCAGCGATTCTTTGAGGAATTGGAGGGATGGATGGGGCAGGCTAGCAGAGATTCTTTGCGGAATTGGAGGGCATGGAGGGGCAGGCTAGCAGAGATTCTTTGTGGAATTGAGGGGATGGAGGGGCAGGCTAGCAGAGATTCTTTGCGGAATTGGAGGCCATGGAGGGGCAGGCTAGCAGAGATTCTTTGCGGAATTGGAGGGGATGGAGGGGCAGGCTAGCAGAGATTCTTTGTGGAATTGGAGGGCATGGAGGGGCAGGCTAGCAGAGATTCTTTGCGGAATTGGAGGCCATGGAGGGGCAGGCTAGCAGAGATTCTTTGGGCCATTTGAAGCGCACTTTACCGGGACAAATCAAATTCGACGCGTAGAGACTGTAGTTTCGATTGAACCTCCAACAAACGACCGGGCAATAGCGATAAATCTGGAAGAAAATTCAGCCTTCTTTCGTCTTGGCCCGCCCCGCGACAGCGTCGTCGAGCGGCGTGCGCGTTGCGTGCCGCGTAATGCCCGGAAACCCGAAAACAAATGGCTTACCGTTGAGCAAGAGGTTGAGGGCGGCCAGTCGAATAGTTAGGGTGTAGACATGCCATGATAGAAGGAGACAGATTAATATTAGTAAACAGGCGATTATTGGGGAGCACGGCTTCGGAAACGGCTTGGCTTCAGTAGGGTGGACGGGCTGGTAATGGTTTGCATGTTTGTCTCCCTGCTCTCTCTCTCTCTCGCTCTCGCTCTCTCTTTCTCTCCTCTCTCTCCCTATCTCTCGCTCTCTCTGACTTCTAATGCATTTTTATCCATTTGCGACTCAACGATCCATCCCCAATGAATTTCCTGCAAAAATCTCGCTAGCCTGCCCCATTTCATACCGTGTCCTTCCGTATTGTTGCAGTAGTCTCGACGTCCGATTCGTCTTCGGCCTCGAGCAGACTTCTCACTCCATACATCCTCCTCCGGCTCTTGCTCCTTTTTCCTTTCTCCCCTTCCTCCTCAACCACCCATCACCATCCCCATCGACGCCTACGGTATCTGGGGCCTCGAAATAAGCCGAAAAATGCTAAAACAGAGCGTGAAATAATGTAAAGTCAAAGAGGTGTGAAAGATCAACATTAACAAGCCAAAAAATCCATTATTTTGAAATTCTTTAGCGCCAAATTTTAGAGGCAAGAAGCGTCTGCTGAAAAATTATGCATTAAAAAGCGTCAAAAATGTGTTGATAAAATCATGATAAAAATCATAAAATAATTCCAAAGCGCTGAATTTTTAAGCCATAAAAATCATCATTTCTACCGTAATCCCGGAAACAATTATTCTCTGAAATCTGGAAGAGATCTCTCGCCGGGAGGGGGATGAGCTCGCGCGGGTTTAGAAAAAGAGATAGACGATCTAAAATGGATGGAAATGGCCGCCAGAAAAGGGGGAAGGATGGAGAGATACCCGGAGGGCATTAATCTCAGGGTAAAGAAATCCTGGAAACGTCAGGTTTTAGGGCGTCAGGAGAGCGTTTGGTGAGCGCCTAAATACTGCCAAAGCTGCGAATTGCGGCTGCACCTTAAAAACAATTGAAGTCTTGCCGCAGCTGGTCGCATTAAAAAAGCGGGACAGAAAAATTCGTCGTACATATAAAGTTAGGGGGACATCAGCCGTCACTGCCGGGAAATATTATGGCCATAGAAAAGAATGGCCATAACACTGGAGGCAAGTGAGAGAGAAAAAGAGAGAGAGAGAAAGAGAGAGAGAGAGAGAGAGAGAGAGAGAGAGAGAGAGAGAGAGAGAATATTATAAGTATATGGAATGGGCAGAGATTTCCCCTGATTTATGATGGATGGAAAATAAGGGGAAAACCACCGCAAAAACTGCTTCCAAATGGCGGCAGGCTAGCAGAGATTCTTTGAGGAATTGGAGGGGATGGATTTGGGCAGGCTAGCAATATTCTTGAGGAATTTCCGGCATATCTAGACCAAAATCTGATCTCCTCCTGAGTGCGTAATGAGTTTCGTTGCGTAGTGGGTAAATTAAAACACCTGGGGAGAATTCAGTGACCCGTAAAAAGCCATTTCCCTTTTTGGGAGGCC